GCAACAGTTTTTTCATATTCAATATACCCATTTTTCATTATTTATTGCTGAACTACGTGTTATAGCTAGAACACCCAGCTCTTTATCTAAATCTTACATAACGCATCTTTCATGATAATCGGGGACTATATTCTTGAAGGAAATTCTTTCGGTCACTACCATTTATGTTTCCCCGCCCCGCAAAGCTGGCTCGTACGCCTATGTAAGATCGTGCGTTGGCCTTATTCAAGAAAACAAAACATATGAATTGGTTACCTTTCCATCGGCTTTGATAGACAATTTGTGCTTCTTTACAGTCAATAAAAAGTCTGCTTTCTTAAAATATTTTAATTTAAGTTTTTATCAATATTAATGATGCATTATGCAAGATTTAGTTAAAAAAAACTAGACATTCTTATTACAATAGTTCAAAAATAGATAATAGGAAAAAAAATGAATATTTTGAATATTTCATTAAAATTACTTTATTCTGAGTGAAGATTATGACTGTTTGAAGATATATATAGTGTAAATCGTGCATTATCGTAGCAACGGCACTTGAAAAGTGAGACTTAGCCTTGATTGTCCATTTTTGCGCTAAATTTTTAAATCTCGAGAATGTTGAAACCCATTAAAATCCCGGCCATTCGATGTTCTAGAGAGTTGATTATAGGCTTGTAATGTTGTTAAAAGTCTAATTGATAATTTATATAACTGTTGAAACGCCCCCCCCCCCCAATATTTCGCCAACAATAATGATTTCTTAGGAGCGTTCTTAGCCGGCCACATCCTCAGCCCCTCAAAAAGTTCCGTAGCCCCAACAAATTTTAAGAATTAGCTACGGGCCCGCGTTGAAACCGAAAGAAAGCCCTGCAATAGGCAAATGTAGCTCTAACATGGTACATATTTAAAGCCTCTAATGAGGTAAAAAATGTTTGTGACAAAGAGTAATAACTCAGCGAGTTATTATAAAAAATGATTGAAAATCAATGTTCAAAATGAAAAGGATTATATTCCCTTTAATAGTATATCCTCCAATTAAAATTTATTGTCGTGTTATTGTTTTCCGAATCAAAACTATTTTCTTTAGAATACTTCTTACGTATTACCATGTTGTGAGGTGAGCTTTAGTTTACAATTATTACCGCGCTTTGATTCTCTTCTTTAGAATACTGGGGGATTGGATGGCAGAATGGTAAGCACGTGCGCGCTGTATCATAAGGCCTGTTATTGAGTCAACTGGCGTGGTTTCGAATTCCCGATTGTACGTGACAAGGAGTAGGATCGCCTGTCCAACCTCGTGGGTTTTCTCCGGGTCCCCCGGTTTCCTCTCACTGCTAAAGACCCCGACGCGCAAGCGAATTATTGAAATAAAATTAAACCATGTTAGTCCTAAAATGGCCTAGTTTGTTCGAGTGGACGTTAAACCCCATTTCTCTCTTTCTCTTTAGAATACTTCTCACGTGTTACCAAGTTGTGAGGTGAGCTTTAGTTTACAATTATTACCCCGCTTTGGTTCTCATCTTTAGAATAGTTCTCACGTTTTACCATGTTGTGAGGTGAGCTTTAGTTTACAATTATTACCCCGCTTTGGTTATCATCTTTAGAATACTTCTCAAGTGAGCTTTAGTTTACGATATATAGATAGAAATGAGGTGTAAATACTATATGTCCATCCTCCATCACCTTTCTGAATCTATGTTAAATACATATTGTCAATGCGCATGAACTTTATGTTTACGTCAATAAAACAATACAAAAACGTTCACACGACAAAAACTATGTCATTTCGGGACATACACATGGTTCAATTTTACTTTAATAATTCGCTTGTGCGTAGGGGTTTTTAGCAGTGGAAGGAAATCAAATTATCCGGAGGACTCGGAAATCCCCAACGAGGATGACTCAATGACAGACCTTATGATACAGCGCGAACGCGCTAACCATTCGGCCATCCACCCCCCCCCCCCTCCTAGTCTACAATAATTACCCCGCTCCGAAAATTCAAAATTGTTCGGATTTATAATCAATGCAAATGATAATAACTTAATTAAATCAACCTGTTCATAATAATATCATATATTATGTATTGGACGTTAATTTGTACTAAACAACAACAACAACGAAGCCTCTAATGGACACTCAGAAGAAATGTGAATGCCAGACGAAACGAAAGGGGTAATATAGCTGCTGATGTTATATGACCGAAAACCGATGTAAATAAAACGACCTCTTTACGCTGGAAGTGATTATCAGCAATTTTCATCCTTTCAAAGAGCTAGATAACTTATATCAATTTCAAAATGATAAAAATATGGATTATTGTAGCATCTATTGTGCTAACAAGAATTGTTAACGGCCGGGATCAGTTTTAAAAAGGAAACCCAACTAAATGGACGCCACTGTTGATTTGCTATCCAGCATATCAACGGAGAGCGAACTGTCTGATTTAAAGATACATTATGTAAGCGCTAAATCTGTCTGTTGCAGGTCTTTATATATATATATATATATATATATATATATATATATATATATATATTAATATATATATATATATATTATATATATATATAATTTAAGGCCACAAGCAAGACCTGCAACAGACATATATATTAATTAATTAATTAATTAGACATTTATTCACATGACAAGCCCATAAAAAACTCCCTAGACAATCGGATGGTCCTGATTTTTCAACGATTGAAAGACGATCGCCATGTAATAATTTAATTCAAAAATGGCTAGTCGAGACTTTGTTTATTATCGTAAACATTGTAGCAATGAAAATCGAGACTACGCTATTCTTATCAAACTTCAAACACTGAATATTTCTCTCAGAATATATTCCTTTTTCATTATCTATTTTTGAACTATTAAAGAGAGAACTGTCAGCTCTTTATCTAAATCTTACTTAATGTACCTTGAAGCAATTATACATGCATATTCCTAATTCAAGTATTAATCAATGTCGAAAAGTCAGACCTCTATTCTCGAAAAATACATCAGATTATCTAAACGTTTTTAGCAATCCTTTTCGGGGACAACGGCGGGGCAAGGTGGTATAGCCACATTAACATATGTAAGCTTTCGATATGAGTTTCTCGGGGGATTTTAGTATGAAATGATATCTCCGAATGGTTCCCCTTTTGCACATTTCCTAGAGACCTAGGAGCAGAGTCGGGTTAAGGCTCCGAAGGACAGTAGTCTAGGCAGTTCGATCAGCTAGACATGTGCGGAACTAGGGCGTTGTAAACGATATTTCTTGTATCCCGAGTGTGGTTCAATAAGGGTCATTCCATGTCAAGTAGACCAAATTTCGGATAGTTGGGAGCATTAGCCCCCCCCCTCCCTGCCAAAAAAATTATAAAATATATACGTTACAGTATAATATGGTCTTAAACTAACGAATCCGAAATTTTACCCCTCTCGGTCGAAAACTCGCTGATATATCCTGAAACCGACCACAAATTTAGTAATTTTTATCATGTTTTTAGTTGATTTAAACTCACATTTCTAATAGAAGTAGAATTCTTTAACTTTGTAATGTCCGACAACTTCTGGTTGACATATATGATTATATTTCTCGATAACGGTGAAGAAGTAAAATCCATCTTTTGTGGTATTAGCAAAGCATTCGACCGTGTGTGGCATAAGCCTTGTAAAAGGCATATATAGTAATGAACTCGTGTGTGTAGATCCAGTTGAAAGGTACCTAACCACCAGTTTACTGACAGTTAGAGATTAGAAGGAGACAAGAGAGGAGCGGGGAAGACGCGAGAGAAGCAGACACCGGCGAATGGGCTCATCCGAGTTCAGCCGCTGCCGTGGTGAGTTAATCCATCGTAATATTTTGAAGGGGGGTAAAGATTGACAAATTTTAACAATCACGTGTGCTGCTATCAAAACAGCACACGACCTTTTCGATCGTTTGAGTTTTGGCAACAAGATTAGGAACTAAAGACAATAATATTAATTTGGAAACAATTAATTGATTGTCAGTCTACTAAATTTTATTCACAATGAATATATCACTTATTACACGTATACTCGTAAACGGTGAAGAAGTAAAATCCATCTTTTGTGGTATTAGCAATGCATTCGACCGTGTGTGGCATAAGCCTTGTAAAAGGCATATATAGTAATGAACTCGTGTGTGTAGATCCAGTTGAAAGGTACCTAACCACCAGTTTACTGACAGTTAGAGATTAGAAGGAGACAAGAGAGGAGCGGGGAAGACGCGAGAGAAGCAGACACCGGCGAATGGGCTCATCCGAGTTCAGCCGCTGCCGTGGTGAGTTAATCCATCGTAATATTTTGAAGGGGGGTAAAGATTGACAAATTTTAACAATCACGTGTGCTGCTATCAAAACAGCACACGACCTTTTCGATCGTTTGAGTTTTGGCAACAAGATTAGGAACTAAAGACAATAATATTAATTCGGAAACAATTAATTGATTGTCAGTCTACTAAATTTTATTCACAATGAATATATCACTTATTACACGTATACTCGTAAATATTGCTTTCACATAATCATCGACCCATAATTGTAAATACCCTGTATTCATAAACTATATTAAATCCCTGCATGCCAATTATTATAGGCAACTTTGTGGCTAACATTTACAAATAAACACACTTTATTTCATAATTTTAATTGATCATATTTCATACCAGGGTCTAATCCCAATGCTCTGTGGTTATTAGTCAATTTACAAAATTTTATGATTACCCGGTAAAAAGGTCACCGCTTGTTAATAATTTCCATATTTAATTCACGTTCCGAATGTTCATGTCAATAGTATTCCTGATTAAATTACTCTTTTTTCTTTTTTCAACAAATACTGAAATCGAAACAATCTTGAAAAGAACAGTTCGGGGTGTCTAAATATCGTTTGTCGTCTTTATAAAAATGTATTTAAAGCAAAAAAAAAAAAAAAAAAAAAAAAAAACACTCGTCAATAGAGGCATCGCAGATTGCGTGTATTATTGTGTGTTAATTATGCAGACCGTGGGAAAAACTCGTGAAAGTTTCGCGCCAAATTTAACCGTTTTCACTGCATCTGTGTAGCATACAATAACTCATATGGCATGGTACCTTTTACGGTAATAGAATTCAAAGCGTTGATTGGCTGAGGCATGATCGCGATCTACAAAATGCCATCAGGAAATAGTAAAGATATTTAAGGGTGGGATTCAAGACCCGTAAAACGAATGTCGTTCTTTTTTTTTTTACTGCACCTGTATTCAAAAGAAATAATCCCACCCAACTCTCTAACCAAATAATTAATACAAGACGAAAACAAAATAACGGACTACGGGCGTATTTATGGTTGTAAACGCCCAAACTCATGGGTCCGAGAGCAATAGTGTATTCATACACAAATTTGAATTGGCGGAAGAGAGCTAAATACCGTTACTAGATAAACAAGTCTTGCTGCGACCCCCTTGTACAAAATGATCTATCCCGATAAGGGACGTAATTAGCTCCGTGTTTGTATTTCTCGATGTCCAAGTGTGTGATAAGTTTTACAAGAGAGAACTTTTTTATTCACTGGGGTATTTAGTTGTGCAATGGATTTTATTTAACGGGAGATGATTTCAAACACACAGTAAGTTTAGAATAACCAAAGTTAAGTAGTTTGTTCATAATCGAAGAAATCCGTTTATAAAATAGGAAGGTTCATACAGTAATATGTGTTATCACTAAAATAGTGTTACAGTTTTGGGTCCACTTCTTTTCCTTATTTATATCAATGATATTACTGAAAATATCACTTGTAAAATATACGTTTATTTGCAAACGATACGTCGTTGTATTTAATAATTGAAAACCCAGGCGAATGTGAAATTGCATTAAATTTAGATTTAAATTTGATTAACAACTGGTCGACTAAATGGAAAGTAAGATTTAACCCCCTAAAACAGTTTCCATGACATTCCCTAGAAAACAATTCCAAATCTCTTTTGAATTAAATTTTAACAACGTAAATATTAAGGAATCGATATACCTCAAACATCTTGGTCTTATATTACAAAGTAATTGTCAGCGGGACAACCATATTGAATATGTCATATCTAAAGTTAAACGCTCTATTGACTGTCTCCGTGGCTTAAAATATGGCATTTTCGTGAGTCTCTAGAAATTATTTATCTTACCCTTATTTGACTACGCTGACGTCGTTTGGGACAACTGTAACACATTTGGGTCCTTAAAATTAGAAAATCTCCATTTAGATGCACCGAGAACACTAACGTAAACAAGACGTACAAGGCACAAGATTATTATTATATATAAAATGGTCAATAAAATGGTTCCCCCCTTTTTAAGCCTACTAGTACCACCTAAAATTTCTGAAGTAAATCCTTACCCTGTTCGTAATAACAATGAATTGAAACATATTGCTGCTAACACTAATTATTATAAAAATTCCTTTCTACATTAAACAGTAAGCTTTGGAACAGTCTTTCCTATGATACTCAAAACGCCTCCACTACTTTAGATCTTCCCATATCACAATTTGTATTACCATTTTCTGATTTTAAATCCTCAATCAATCTTTTTATTTATGGCCGCTGGCAACGATCTTGGAATCTTGCAGGCACAAATAAACTTCATCACATTAAGCATCTCTTAGAAGACTGGCCCAACTCCTATAGAACTAACAGGAGAGATGAAGTTATTTTGTGTCGCTCTCGTATTGGTCATACTTTTTAAACGGGTAAGTGGGTAAGACACTGGCTCGCTAGCCTGGAGGTTGGGTGTTTGATCCCTGCATTGGCCGAGAAAGTTCATCCAGATTTATCGGCGTGGTTCCCCCTTGTCAGTGATGCAGGACGGAGGGCCTGACAAGGACAGCTGTCTAGGCCTTCGGATGAGACGAAAAACCGAGGTCCCTGTATACATTGGAATGCACGTAAAAGATCCCTTGAAAGTTGCAATTCGATATAAGAGTAGGCGATAGTGCCGCTGCCCGGGCAAAATTTCCCTCATAGCACACTGTATGGCGTATTCCCGTCTACATTAGCCCATTATAGGAGCAGAACAGTAGGACGTTAAACCCCATTTCATTTCCAAAGAAGCGTTGTAGTATTTCTCAAACAAGACACAATATCTAGTTTCGCTCATGCGTACCACCGACGTGATGATGTGAAAGAAGCCGTCATTGCTTGTAAATAATCAAGGACCCCATATTGCGTATTAAAGTTTGTGCTGTGTTTATTTACTGCAGTGAATGACAACCTCATATGACGATATGTTACATTTAAGTCTAACCGATACACATCTCAAAAGATGTTATGTCCTTGGTCACGTATTCCAACAAGTTATATCCGAGGTGGTGTGACTTCGTTTTCAGTTGATGGTTTAGTATTTAGGACAGAGACTGACGAGGGAAATTTAATATACCCTATGTCAAGCGATTTATATCGAATTGTGATCTAAAATTACATCTAACAATATGTAGCTTCAATTACAGCATTAGTTCACAATGTCCTTTCATGATCGCTCATTTATTCACAAGTGTTTATATTCTCCTCTAGTGTGAGGGGTTGGATAACCGAATGGTTATCACGCGCGCTCTGTATCATACGGTCTGTCATTGAGTCAGCTGGCGGGGTTTCGATTCCTCGGTTGTACGTGACAAGGATTAGGGTCGCCTGTCCAACCTCGTGGGTTTTCTCCGGGTCCTCCGGTTTCCTCCCACTGCTAAAGACCCCTACGCGCAAGCGAATTATTGGAATAAAATTAAACCATGTTAGTCCTAAAATGGCCTAGTTTGTGTCGAGTGGACGTTAAACCCATTTCTCTCTCCCTCTCTCTCTCTCTCTCTCTCTCTCTCTCTTCTCTAGTTGTGTTTATGTCGATGTTAGGTTGAGTCTGTTGAAATAAAAGACCTAATCACCCCCCCCACCCCGATGCTAGAAAAACGGGTGGCACATAAAAATAACCTCACATCATGTTTTCTTGCGAAAATAAAAATCTGAGATGAATAACCTCAAATTATCTTGGGTATGATTCAAAGCCGTCCCCCAACTGTCAGATCTCAAATAATGACAGGCACAGATTATACTTTCATTATTATTTTGAATTAAACTAATACACTGTTCTACGAATGTACTTGCGCCAAGTACAGTAAAATCGTACAACCATATACAATGGCATATGTCTTAAAAAATTATATTTGAGGGTACAAGTTTGAAATGATTTTTTACAACATTAGATTGGAGTCACGGTGGCTCAGTGAGTAAGATATTGGGTCGATAACCTTGTGGTCCCGTTTTCGATCCCGGTATTGGCCGTGAAACGTCATCTAGATTTTCCGGCGTGGTTCACCCTTGTCAGTTGTGGTAGGAAGGAGGGTCTGGCAAGGGACAACTGTCCAGTTAATCGGAAGGTACGAAAACACTAGGTCCCGTTTACACATTGGCGTTTGCGTTATAGATCCCTTCTCTGTTGAATTCGTTATAAGAGCAGGCCGTAGCGCCGCTGTCGGGGCACATTTTCCCTCATAGCATACTGCAGCATGACGTATGCCCATCTTCATTAGCCCGGTCGGGGCATAACAGTAGGACGCTGAACCCCATTTTATTTCATTTTATTACCAGATTAAAGCTGGTTACAATGTTGCTAAAGCCCCTTTGAATGTCAACTCTCTTTACCGATTAATTTACTCTATTAAGATTCGTGTTTTATACATAAATAATCGGCCAATCTTTAAGCAAAGTGTGAATGAAATAATGACCATTCATAATTAATTTCTCTTTCTTTATCGTTTCAGATTTCCGAACATGAATTGTGGTAAACGGCTGACGCCTTTTCCTTCGTCAAAAACATTGAAATATTTCAAATATACGGCAGCCGTGTTCATATTTCTTTACGTATTACAAAGTTTTCTGCACGAGAAAAACAACAATCCGATATTTAATGGAGATTACGTATTAAACAATGAAAAAATCTGTAATGATCAAGAAACAATTACAGCCATTGTGGTTGTTCATACTTCCCCAGATCATTTTGTTCGAAGGCGAAACATTCGCGCTTCCTATGGATCTATGACATTGTATTTACCGACTCAAATTCGCATCGTGTTTCTTTTGGGACGAGTTAGCAGCAAGGAGCTACAAAATGAAATTCTAATTGAACATGATAAATATGGTGATATAATTCAAGGAAAGTTTATCGACGCTTACCATAATTTAACATATAAAGCAGTTATGGGTCTACACTGGGTTTCACATTATTGTTCAAGGGCTAAATACGTCGTAAAAACGGATGACGATCTTGTTTTTGATATGTGGCGATTTATAAAAATGTTCGATGCTCGCGATCTATACGTGTCGAAAACTATATATTGTTACGTCAGAGATCGCGGTATAGTTCCCCGTAAAGGAAAATGGAAGGTACCGGATCATTTATTTAAGGAGTATACGCATTATCCATTCGCGCATTGCCTAGGATTTACCATTATTTACAGTGGAGATATTATTTCGCATTTATATACGGCTTCCTTTAAAATTCCACTGTTTTGGTTGGATGATGTTTATGTGACTGGTTTGTTAAGATTAGCTGTTGGTGGAATTCAACTAATTCACCAGACAGAACCTAATCATTTCCAACCGTTAATAGGTGGCTTACGTTGCTTGGAGGAAAAGGGCGAAGATTGTCCATATTTAGCCGTAGGTGTGACAGACAACACTTTCAATGCCACGTGGACAGCAATACAACGGAGAAACAATATGTAATTATGCTTCCAAAAAACAACTTGTTTTTATATGGGTTTTTAAAAATATTTATTCATTGCAGATTATAAAAATATAGGTTTAGATGAAGTAAATAGATTTTGAATTTAGACCAGAATTTGTGCTTTTATGTGAAACCAAATGAAATGAAATGAAATGGGGTTTAACGTCCTACTGGGCTAATGAAGACGGGCATACGCCATACAGTGTGCTATGAAGGAAATTTTGCCCTGGCAGCGGCACTATCGCCTACTCTTTTATCAATTTCCAACTTCCAAATGCAATTTACGTGCATTCCAATATATATACGGGACCTCGGTTTTTCGTCTCATCCGAAGCACTAGACAGTTGTCCTTGTCAGCCCCCCCCCGTTCTGCACCACTGACAAGGGGAAACCACGGCGGAAAATCTGGATGAACTTTCTCGACCAATGCAGGGATCGAATTTATGTGAAACAAAGAAATTCAGAATAGTGATGTGTGTAAATCAAATCTCTTTCATTTGGAATATTTTATTAAAGCCTTACTCTACAAATACAATTATTATTTTAATTAAAGCGACGTTTCGTTGGGGCTCCTCTCGACGCTATCAAGTAAATGACCATGAATATGTTGTTCAAACAACATACTATGGTATTATGGACAGGCTGATTATTTTTATACATACAAAAGAGGCATAAAGAGGGTATAAACGTGAAAAAAAGATTTGTATGTAAAATTGGCATTTATTAGCACAATGACATATTTACATACAAGAATTTTTAGAACTTTTTTTACCCCTTTTTATGCCATTACCCCTGGTCCTATGCAATAAACACGTTGGCAGATTCAATTATGCCAGACATGCACTATGCGAATTTATTCGTCTATTGCTCGGTCGAACTATTCGTCGTCAAAGTTACTCGGGCAATGCAATGTACACACAATGTGAATCAATCTGTTTCACAGAAGTATTGCGAAGACCAATAGCTCTGTAAAGATGACTCGTTTATCATGTGACGTCACATCACGCGGCGTCAATCATTGGCTTAATGGCGCGCACATTGTTTACATAAGACGCTACTAGTCCGTGCAGAATGGTGCCTTTTACTTATTTTGCATACCCATTTACACTAAATAGGAAATATTTTTACTTACATACACTTGAAACGCCATTATTTATTTTTCTAACGCTTAAATAATTATTCTAGAATTTAATTTTCAGAAGGAAAAACTTTAATATTTGGAGCTCATTAAGTCGCATAGATGCCCCTAGCCTATCAGTGACTGTAGCTGACTAGCGAATATTCACTGTTGATCAGCGTGGATGGGAATGTCTGTACCGGTGAACATTTGGCACACCTCGGAGGACTCCAGAAGCCTACATGTAACGTCAGCTGTATGACGAATTCCGCCATATTGGATCTGCTTTCAAGTTCCCGGAATAAAAATGGCGGCGCTCATGAAGACGCCTGTGAAGTGTGTTTTATCTCAAAAAACTGTATGCTGTTTGTTATGTACTCCCGATAGTAAACGCTTGCATTACTGGACTAAATTAAAAGCTAGGAAGGGTACCGGAGTTTGCCGAGGATTACCCAATGTCTTCAAACGACGCCATCTTGAGAACTTCATTCTAAAAGCGGTAAGTTTTCCTAATAGTAAACCAGCAGCCGCATCACAGTTGTATAGGTGTAGCTGCATATCACTCACCGTCATACAGCTGAGACTAGATGTAGGGTACCGGAGTCTGCCGAGGTTTGTCGAATGTACCGACACCCGATTGAATGCGCAGATGCGTTTTTGGCCACATGATTTAGTTGGAGGTCGCCTTTTTGTTTGTCATGCTAAGCTTCGAATGGTTTTGATATTGCAGAGGAATTCTAGGACTCGTGATACTCAATGACTTCAGTGCACCATAAGCCTCTCGTCTTTTTGTTCCCTAACTTTCGTTGGGTCGAAAGCGTTCTACCACACATGGAACAATATGTGGCAACATCTTTAACACAAATACGCAAAAGGTTCACCGTGGAAGTCTTGAGAAACACAAACTGAAGTTTCATATTACAAAATTGTTATTGTATAATGTTCTGTGATTTAGTAACTAAAGAGGCCGCCTACAATGACTGTCAACAACTCAACAGGACTTAGACGGCCACGAAGTCCTCTCATTTATAGTCCCCCATTTCCCCTTTCCCATTCGCAAGGCGTTGTTATTGCCGTTTTGGTTATAATCGAAGAGGTGGTGGGGGGGGGGGTGAATTTAGTTATAATCGAAGAGAGGCGTTTCAAGTTACATGTTCTACCTGGATTTGGTTGATATTGATGGGTGTGACGAAGGATAGCATAATATTTAAAAGGTTTACATGTAGAGCTTTAGTTATACTGAACAATTCACAAAAAGAATCAAAACATGACACTGTATAATGAAATTTATTAAGTAAACATATCGCTATTAGTAAAATATAAATAAAACTTGTTAAAACTTATTGATCTTTCATCGTGAGAACAATATGCAAAGGTACAACTATGTACAAAGACCCATAGCTATAGAGGGTTGTATCAATAGGACTAATAGTATGCAGCACTATGCCTTATGAAAAATAATTTTAAAAGATAGACCACACTATAACAGAGAGAGAGAGAGAGAGATGGGGGTTTAACGCCCACTCGACACAAACTAGGTAATTTTGGGACTAACACATGGTTTAATTTTATTTCAATAATTCGCTTGCGCGTAGATGTCTTTAGCAGTGGGAGGAAAACGGAGGACCCGCAGAAAATCCACGAGGTTGGACAGGCGACCCTACGCCTTGTCACGTACAACCGGGGATTCGAAACCACGCCAGTTGACTCAATGACCGGTCTTATGATACAGCGCCCACGTGCTAAGAATTCGGCCATCCAACACTATAACATAAAACGTCTATCCATAAAAAATACAAAGCTCAGATCAATTTTAGTGTAGCAATTGATTTTTCGCGTTCTACTTCGATTGACTTTGCCGTATCTTAATATATTCTACTCAAATCAGCTGAAATGTATAGTGCTAACGACAATTTAATAAAATCACTCCGATGATTTTTTCATGAAGGAGGATGAAATGGGAAACAGGAATATGAATCCATGTAACATAGCACAGCTGAATAACACAATAGTATACATGATCAAAGAAACTATGTACAGTTGGGCAATGATTGAGCCATAGGGTATAACTGTTATGATTTAACAGTATGAATCCTATATTTCTAGAATATATTACAATGAATTATTCAAGTGTTTATTTATTTACAATATGTATATATTGATGTATTAACAGGAATACATGTATTTGCAATCAATATTATAAAATCGAACAATACAAAATTACGTTGCTCTAATAATTTGTTGACATCATTCCAACATCATTTTTGAAAAAGTGCTTTCCAGACATCTTGCCTGTCATGACAAATATCATCAATAGTGTCGTTACTAAAAATACTGTTCCAGATGCATTTAAATCGGCTATTGTATTTCCATTAATAAAACTAGCCAACAGTGAGGCTGATGCCCCCCCCCCCCCCCCGAAATAAATAGATGGCACATATTAATTAATCGCACATTTTTTTTCAAAAGTATCGAGCAATCAAACTGATTATCAATTATACACTAAGTTTCATACATTCTCCTCATCTAAAGTTAAATATAAATTATTCAAAACTTATTGTATGCCCCTGTATGGGAGCCAACTATGGGATTTCTCACAAAAGTCATTAGCGAGTTTTTATGTAGCCTGGAGAAAACAGGTTAGGAAAGTATTCAACATTTCCCCAAGAACCCACAATAGTTTATTAAATATTATATGTCAGGATTTGTCAATTGAAACTCAGCTTCATAAACGTTTTATTAAGTTTTGTCATAGTATTATACATAGTAGTAATTTATGTCTTCATATATGTGGACGTACTGCGTTGTTGGGGAGTCAGTCTACTATATGTTGGGAACGCCGCCAAACGAGGTCATCTGCTCTATACTATCATATTGTTCCCCTCCATATATAATATAACTGTTTACCAGCGGCTGCCAGGCAGGATACGCCCACATTTTCAAGAGATGGGTAGAGAACAAGCTAAAAACAAACAGGATTTTTTGTACAATCAGGGGCAATAATCCAGAAAGTTATGGCCTGAAATGTGCAAATATCAAAAGGGACTGAGATCCGATAAAAAATTGTGACCTCTCGAGGTTCCACAACCTTCGTATTACACACTTCTACACAATTTGCGTACAAAGAACGGCCATTTTCCCGAAATTCGAATTCAAACTTCATTATGGTGGAATGGTGATGTATTAAAACGGTTTTTAAAAAAATTGTGACCTCTAGAGAATCCGCAAGCTAAAAATGCGATTTTTCGAACAATCAGGGGCCATAATCCAGAAAGTTAAGTTCGGGTATCCACGATTATCAAAAGGAACCAAGATCTTAGTGTGTAATGGTGATATATTCACACGTTTTTTTTAAATCGGATAAAAATTGTGACCTCTACAGGGACCACAAGCTAAAAACGTTATTTTTTGTTCAATCAAGGGCCATAATTCAGGAAGTTACACTCCGATATGCGTGAATATCTAAGGAACCAATATCTTTGAGTTATAAACATGTATTTAAAGTTTCTACCAAATCGGATCAAAATTGTGACCTTGATTTACCAGATGTTTACACTATTTGCGTGCGAGGGGCGGCCATTTTGTCCGGCAGTTTTGGCCCGATTTCTACGAAATTCGAACTCAATCATCCTTAGGGTGTCTTCATTAGCCCAGTCGGAGCTGACCAGTAGGACGTTACACCCCATTTCATTTCATTTGTATGACGTATGCCTGTCTTCACTGGCCCTGTCGATGAAGAACAGTGGAACGTTAAACACCATTTAATTACAATTGTCGAAGGCGACAAATCGACAAAATGAAGGTGACGATTGTCGAGTACATTTTGTCAACTTGTCACATGCAATTATTTCGACTTGTCGTGTCGAGAATATAGAATGGCCGCTAACTATGGAAGTATGGAAGCGTATTTGGGTCACTACTTATTTAGATAATATCGCAACACATCGAACTAAAATATTTCAACTTCATGAGTTATATTACAAAAAATCGA